TTCTGAGAAACAGGATAAGTTAATAAGCTCCTCGAGGATTAATCCATCAATTCTTATGTGGGACATGCTCAAGTATTCCCTCATATCAATGGAAATTGCTGCCCGTAGTAAGACTGATATGAACCCCAATATTGGCCTGAATACGTTGTATAAGGAGCTTAAAACTTCTGGTGGTTTTGTATTGTCTTTATTGCTAAAAGTGATACAACGCGTTAAATGTGAGGATTCTCTCCTTTTGCTTCAAAGATTTTGTGGTATTCAAAGGTTTGCAGATTCCATCTGCTCTGGGATGTCCAATGAAAATGCTAGCGACTCATGTGGACGAGGTACAACTCAGGGGCTTAAAAGCATCTTTATCTTTTTGGGTTATTTTTGGCACTCCTTTATTGGATTTTATTGTATCACCGTCTTTGACTTCGTTCTCTGTAGTGTGCACTTCAGGGACTGAGTTGAATGAACACTTAGAATCTTGTTGAATTTTTCCAAATGTCCATCCATGTTCTGTTTAGGACAAGTTTTTTATGAACTAACTGTCGAGGATATTAGATATGATGCCTCTTTATTCACGGGCATGAACTTTCAATAAATGCTAAGATAGATTCCCATCTGAAATTCTTTCGTGGAGTTTTTCTATATATATCTTCCACTCTTCAACTTATAGTTTTCTGATTGATGCTATTGCAGGTATCCTCCACATCTTGACCAGCCTTCGTGTGGAATTGCCACAATTTGATATCCAGTTCTTGAGCCGAGGATCTGATCCTGTTCTTGCCCATGACCCATTTGCATCGTTGATGTGGGTTCTCTTTTGTCTTCCTTTCCCCTTTTTATCGTGTAGGGAATCCTTGCTTTCCCTTGTGCATATCTTCTACCTAGTTTCTGTGGCCCAGGTATGTTTGAAGCATTTAAAGTTTCAATGCTGATTATGTTTTGCCAAATCTAGATTTGTAATTTTGAAATATTCTTTACAGGCTATAATCTCGTCTTTCATCAAGTCTCAATGCAAGGTAGATGAGTTGGGCTTTAGCGATTCCTTGGTTGCTGATATTTGCAAAATTATGGAAGAATCTGAATATGCGCGACAGTATTTTGTTTCAAATTACACAGAGCCGTCTTGTAATGTTAAGGACATGATACGTAGCTTGACTTTCCCTTATCTTCGGAGATGTGCACTACTTCTAAAACTACTAAATTCCTGTGCACTAGTGCCAATTTTTGATGGAGAGACTGCTTTAGAAACATATCTTGCCGGTAACAATATGATTGACAACAACACACTGGAACTCAACGAAATTGAGAAGCTTGAGAAAATGTTCGAAATTCTTCCATTGGATATTGTTTTTAAGGATGGAACCTCACGGGCACTTGTTTCGAAGTGGTTTTGTCATTTTAATAAAGAATTTGAGTTGCAGAGGTCTAAAAACATAAAGCACTGCACACCTGCAGTACCTTTTCAATTAATTCGTCTGCCTCATGTTTACCACGATTTATTGCAGAGGTGTGTTCGACTTTCTATTCAATTTCTCTCTTTTATTTATTCTGTTGTTATATTGAAGTGGGAATGATCGAATTTTCTGCTTCGACAGGTACATAAAAAAGCGATGCCCTGACTGCAAACACGTTATTGATGATCCTGCATTATGCCTGCTATGTGGTAGACTGTGCTCCCCAAGCTGGAAATCCTGTTGCAGGTCTTTTTGCCTTCCAAAAATAGTTTTACTTTCAAAATTGGCTTAGAAGGATCGATGTTTGTTTTCATAAGAAAAAGAATTATTCTGTGCTTTTGCTGTTAGCTATGAAGTTTTGAAAGTTAATTATGTTTGTCTCAAGGGAAAGTGGATGCCAAGCTCATGCAAATATCTGTGCTGCTGGCACTGGTGTGTTTTTGCTGATTAGGGTGCGTCGTCCTTTAACCTTGTGTTCAGGGATCCTTCTGTTTTACATATTTTTTACTCGACAATGGGATCAACTAAATAAGATTCTGCTTTATTTTGACAGAGGACCACGATTTTACTGCAGAGATCTGCACGTCAGGCTCCTTGGCCATCTCCTTATTTGGATGCTTTTGGTGAGGAGGTATATTGTCATCTTTATCAATTGTTATTTACTTGATTATTTGATTGCTTTATGGTCCAAGTACGCATTTTCTCTGTATGTCATGTTATCTTGAAACATATGAAACCAAACGACTCTATATTGCAGTTATCGAGGATTTTATCCTTTTTCAATTGCAAATTATGATGGGTTGTTGATGAAACTTCTCCTTTGTCATTTTATATAAGTATTGTATAGCATTCTTTTTGGTCATATTCATATTCCGCTGTAATCTCTAGTTTCCTTCCTTGCTGCAGGATATTGAAATGCGTCGGGGAAAGCCATTGTATTTGAATGAAGAGCGTTACGCTGCCCTTTCATATATGGTGAAGAAAACGAACTTTCTTTATGTTTTCCCCCTGCCATGACATTTGTTCCCTCCCTCGTTTTACGTGAAGAAGTTTTCTCTTCTTTGAATATTTGAAGTGAGGCCTCTGATAAATTATAAAAATTAGCTATTGACCCCTAAAGACATAGCTACCTATCTATGTGAGAGACCAGTTCTATGACATTTCCATATTTGGTTTTTCGTTTCTCGGTTCTCATAACTATTTCTTGTTTACTTTTGTTCAATGAGATACAAAAACAAAAACATATCTCGTTATTTTTACCTTGTAGTTCACTTTTTCATTTGATAGTGTTCCTTTGACTTCAAACTTAGTGAACTTGTGGAGGCAGATAGTTTCTATATTTAATTAAAATTAGAATCGTAACCATAGAAAATTGAGTATTGAATAAAAATGTTTGAATCATTCTTCTTCGTAGATTAACTTCTTTTTTTTTTTTTTTTTTAGGTTGCTTGTCATGGCCTTGATCGAAGTTCAAAGGTTCTAGGCCAGACTACAATTGGGTCCATCTTCATGATTTAATCTGGAGTATACTTTGAGGCGACTCCTTCGGCCACTGACCATGGTTCAGATTTTGCACTTACCTGTTATAGTTCATGCTGAGTTCCTTGTCCTAGTTTGCCTAGCAGCGAAGTATTCTACACCATGGAGGCATTGATAGGGATGTCGAATACAGGTATGATGAACATGGAAACCCCTATATACCTCTGATGTAGAATAAATATCTATTTGTATAGAATTTTAGTTGTATATGTTGTATAGCCTTTCTGGTTTTCATGAATCACCATTGTGTACTTTAATCTTTATTTTGAAAAATGATATTTATCTATTCTTTTTAACAAATTCTCTCTTGTTTGTTATCAATCAACATATAAAAATCCATCTCCGTGTACCAATGTCTACGCCTATCCTATTTGTCACAGTTTTCATATCAATTCTAGAAGGGCTGTAAAGGAGGGATTAATGAGCTTTTTAAGTTCAGGCATGATGAGTAAGCCTTTGCGTTCCAATGTAAATTCTCTGCTACAATGTTGACTGTGTTGCTATGCTGCTCTGCTCTGTCATCAATTCCGACTTGTCTTCCCTTCATTTGAGAGATTTTTCTTCTAAAGCAGTATTATTCTGGACATGTATTCATGTTTTAGGTTGTGTAGTTATTGGTTTTCAAGAATCCGTACTCCTACAGAACGAATTCTCGTGCACAAGTCTTTTCAGAGGTGAGAAATGGCCCTTTGTTTTCATGTGTTGCAGTCGGTAGCCAGTGGCCCAGAGGATATCAAAGATGCATCATCACCTTTCAATGTGCAGTGTGTTGGAAGTATTTCTGAAGTTGACGTGTGTAAAGTGCGCTTGTACATAGGGAGGTTGCCCGGTATGGTAATTTAGTGGCAAAGCATTGTTTTGGAGTTGCCTTCATTTCTGAATCAAGGCCGTTGGCATCTTTCTATTTGGAGGGTGGAGATGGGAGTGGTGGCCATTTTGTTCTGTCAAATCTGGCCGTATGAATTTGCAATCAGTTTGTGCAATTATAATGGAGAGGTTTAGATCCCCAAAAAGGGAAAACTGAATTGTTCTGCCCGTTTTTATTTGTTTGAAGTTCAAACCCATCGTTAGAAATCAGCACAATGAATCTTCTTTAAGTACATAGGGAAAGTAGAAGGGGAGCTTATTGTGCATTTCTAGTCCACTCAATTTTTTATTTGTTAATCTTCATTGTAAAATATCAACATTCACTCTTTTATATTTTTCCTTTCTTTGAACTCTTTATCACATATCTCCAACTCGATCCATCTGTTCCCAATGTCTTCCGTGTCATCCTCCTCCTCTTTAATTGGAGAATGGGTTTCTTTGAACTATTGTTGATTTTTTTACGCTCAGTGTTTTAGAGTAGAGATTTAATTCTCTAATTTCAATTGATTTCTATTTTTTACGCTCAGAGTTAACAGTGTGTAAGTGGAGATTTAATTCTCCGATCTTTTACTCTGACAATTGATTTCTATCGTGAAGTATACTACAAAATATGTAATCTTAGTTGGGTGAAAGACTCCATATCCAAAACAAAGAATAGCTTTAGGTTTTGCAGGTTTCAATATCTCAAAACTACATTTGTTACGATTTTATTTTTGTAAGAAATGATTTCATCGGTGGTATGGAATTGCAAAAGGTAGAGAATCTCATGTGGTTCGCATAAGATGTGTTTTTGCAATCCTCTAATCTTAATCTTGGAATTACAAAAGGTAGAGAATCTCATGTGGTTCGCAGAAGATGTGTTTTTGCAATCCTCTAATCTTAATCTAAAGCAGTGTAATGGGGTTTTAAGCCATAGGAAATTATATTTCCATCCTCATTCTAACACTAGCCTCGTTACATCATTACTCTTACTCTTAATATGATAACATGATAACGATACCTCTATAAGATAACGATACTCTTAACATGATAACGATACTTCTATAAGATAATCAGATCAGATAATGCTTCTATAAGATAATCAGATCCAAATATCATAATGCAGATGCAGAACTATAGAATTTTGTTCTTGAAATTGAATTTTTACAGTTAGAAAAATCAAATTTTATTTCATAAGTATCAGAATTCTAACCATTCAAACCTTGCCAAGTGTACAATGAAACATGTTTTCGTGAACACTAAAATAGAAAACCGTTAGGCCTATCTGCAACTGTAAAACAAATAAGTTCAAAATAATATATGTACGAAGGAACTAAAGCGAATCATCTTTTTTCGAGACCAATTGCTGCTTCAAGAAACACTGAAACAGCATTTTCGCGATATTGACTTGCCGGGACTTTTGACCGACCAGCCCTTTTTTATGCGCTGCTTTACCCTGAACTCCGTTGCTCTGTCAAAAATGGAACCCTGTCAGTAAATTTACAGAAAGTATCTCCAATAGTACATCTCTTGCTTATTTACAATGTAGTAGTTGCACATTTCGAAGAATGGGGCCAACCTAACAGTGATATAAAAAAGCAGATCGAGTGTTTAAAGATCCTTCAAATTCAGGTGAAAAACTTATTCTGGTGAAGTATCTCGATCCAAACCAGTACTACACTGTGGTGTCAAATAACTTAGATAATGCATAGAAAGAGTAGGATTGAACTTAATAATAGTAGGATCCAAAAGTTATCAAAACCCCACCCAAGATCTTTCCTCACTCTGAAGGTTGATGCACACAAAAAGAGATTCGCAAAGCAGATTAATACTTATCAAGGATATCCCTAATTAAATCAACAAAAAGAACGAGATGACATTATTAATATCCGTGCTACAAGTTTCAAAAGAAAATGAGCATATTACTAACAGATGAAAGAGGCTCAATAACTTACAGTTCAGAATTTGCCATCTTATTGTGTTTGCTAAAGAATCCTTTATCTGGAAGAGATTCCATTTGATTCTACTGACTGGACAGCATGGTTGTTCTTCTCCTTGTCAAATGCGAACTCAAGTTGCTTTTCCACAGATTTTAAGATGGCCGTTCGCTTGGATGTTAACCGGTATGGAGGAGAAGCATTGAAAGCCTTACTGTTTGACTTGCTGGGGCCATGATCATTACTAGGAGTCTCGCATAAGCTTCCATTTGGTGAACCCATCATGCTGTCACCATTATTAAGTGTTTCTTCTTGACCAGATTCTCGGGAGATGACTGTTTCTGTCTCCCCATCCTGCGTCTGTTTAGGAGGGAGACAAGTTTGAGTTTCTGTCTTTCTCTTCCGTAATATTGAAGGAGTTGTGGGGAAACTTCGAGCCGCAATTCTCAATATCGACTCTGGGCTGTGTATACTCAAGTCTCTAGTCTTCACACAAGGAGGAGTGAAGATACCGATTGGTGAACCGATTGAACTATTATTTGTCTCATACATGTACATGCTTAAAAATTCAGAATCTACTGGAATACGACTTTCTAGTTGGGGTGGCTCATAGTACAGTGAACCATACTTCGGAGATTCAAATCTTGAAGGTGTTTGTGTAATTTTATCTTCATCTAATTTGCTAATCTCATTCTCCAGATCACCAGGAGTCGTAGTCCCATTCTTTCGTGTTGACCCAGATTTCCTGCATCTTGGATCCGTGATATTTGAAGATCCCGGCCAGCAATTGGCATGTCTGGAATCAGCAGACTCATTCAAAACCCCACTTGTTGAAGCAACCATATCTTCATCAGGAGGCGTTGACGACTCTACCTGGTCCTTACTGCTTTCCTCCAATTTGTACATGTCGGTGTTACCCGACGATGTTTGGGCAGTTGAGTCTGACCCTTTACTTGAGTAAAGAGGAAAGTTTTTAGTAGGTGGAGTCCTAGTAGTATCTCTAGCACCATTCTGGGAACTATTTTTTGCAACTGGTGGAAGCTTCCCAGTTGCCAAATAGAAATCTAGCTTTTTCTTCAATGAACTATTCCAATGATTTTTTATTGCATTGTCAGTCCTGAATATAGAAGGAATACGCCATATCATTTTAACCAAGTCAAGCAGACAAAAATTCCAAAGCAAAGACATTTCTTTTCCAATGCGTGATAAATAATACTCTTTTTCGTGTTTGTTACGTCCTAGTTTATATAACACATATTTCTACATTTTTCTACCATTCATTCAGCATAATAATAAAATCTTCAAATAAGAGATGACATAACCAATCAAGGGTTACTTCTAAATGACCTATTGAGAAGAATGTAAAGATCATATCAGTGATACTTTATAAATTAATTAGACGGGACTGGACAGGCGGCTGAACACATGGTCTACACGTACTCGTTCGACCTATCTATGTACATTTATATCTGTTTATCTCTTTTTCCCTTCTTTTTTTTATTTTCATTGAGGTATGAAAGTTTACGAAAACAAGAATGAGTACCTTCCAGGTAAAACCCTGGCTATTTCAGCCCATTTGTTCCCATGTAACCGATGTGCATTCATTAGGGCCAATTCTTCTTCTAATGTCCATGCATCCTTCTTTATATCTGGATTCAAATGATTGTGCCACCTAAAAAAATAGAATATTACTTTACAACAGATACAAAAACTCAGACCCCTTCAATATTCAGAAAGAGCAAAACATGGAGACAGAAAATGCTAAAGGTTCGGAAATCATGACTCATAAGTAACTCTTATTGTCTTTAGGTAAGAAAAAAAGGAAACGCACAATCATTCAACAGGGCGAACGACCAAGCATTAAGGGGGGAAAAAAACAAAGCATAGTAAACTTCCCAGAAACATGCGGATTACATTTAGAATTTCAAAATCAAGACTTCAGCTCACAGCTAATCACAGTAATTTCACAGGAGATACCTCTCTCGGCATTGTTTCCCTATGCGACCTGGCAAAGATTTCGCTATCAAAGACCATTTTGTAGGCCCATACTTCGATACCAGCTCAATAATTTTATCATCTTCCTATAAGAAAGAAAAACAAAATGATAAATTTTCACTATACGTGCAAGAGAGAGAAAGCCTCCAAGGAAAAAGACGACGAGTAACAACCTCCTGAGTCCATGGTCCTTTGACAAGATCTGGATTGAGAACCTTCTGCCATCTGTGCAGACACTGAACTTCTGATCTATCATGGAAGTACTCAGCTGCACACAAATTTTATTTGATAAGATTAATCAACCTAACAAATTTGCGTATAAAAACTTTACCATTTTGATAATTGATACATTTAAAGTCATGGTCAGGGTGTTGAAATAAGTGATGGTAATTACTGATCAGGCAACCCACTCTTCATAGGTATAATTTATAATGATACTAAAAAATGACTGAAAGTTGAATTAGCAATATATGCATACAAAGTAATTATCAGCCCAATTGGGCCAAGTAACCATGTTTTCCCATAACTTTCAGCTGTAGCTTATAAAATTCAAACACGCAAGATGTAAGAAGAGTACAATTGCATACTAATACTAACGAGATCATCATCCAAGGTATAAAGCTTAGAATGCCTTCCCTTTGGCCACATATTTAAAAACGGTCAAAATATTTAACATAATTTTTTTATTAGTTAAGTGAACGTGTAAAATTCTTCAAGACTATCTTAACAGTAGAACACATTCAATTCGTCAGATAAAATAAAGAAATCAACTAAAGCCAAAGGTTAAAATTCTAAAATCATTTTAAAAAAAGAGTTCTATAGCAACAAAAATAGAGAGAAACCTATTTTCTTCCAATTCTTCCCCTTAAAAGCTGCAACGGCATTTCTCAACGTCTCATCCTGAAAAAAAAAAAAAAAAATCATCATTTCAAGTCAAGAAAAGTGCTCCCTATTATATGAGTGATCTTATCAGTTAGGATTTTGGAAATTGAATCTTCTTTATCCATTGAAAGATATAGTTTTTCTAGGCCTGGCAGGCGTCTGAAAAACATGGTATACGTCAATGACCATCATAATTAAGAAGCAAGAACTATGCAACACAAGCAACTAAAAGAGGGGGCAATCAATGCTTACTTCTTGAGGAGTCCAACCACCCTTAGCTCGACGAATAGGGCCACTGGTTCTCCTGCCAAGTCAAATTACACATTAAGCATAAACGTCTGAGTTCTTTGAACTGGTCATAAGCAGGGTAGAGTCATTGCATTTTTCAATTACTTTGGCAGCCAATAATATCATACACCTAGCTGCCTTATTAATAGAGTGTGCAAGAAACAATGACAAAATCTTAGCGAGAGCTACAACTTTGTGAAATTACCGATGGGAAGGAGATGTTGGTGCCGGACTACACATCCCAGGAGACTTGGCAGCTGCGCAGCCACTACCTTCAGAGACAGAGGAACTCGTAGCAGCCGTAGATTGTTTATTTTCGAGACAAAACTCTTCTTGTTTCGCCTCTTCCATCTACTCCTAGAACCATCTCCAAAATTCAAAATCCTAATAACAGAATAAATTTCACCTCAAATTGTAACCGAAAACCACCGAAGAAACTATTCAAAAAACCCCAACTCGTATCAAGTTCTCGAAAACCCACCACCTAAACTGGAAAACGAAAAGCAACGAAAGAACTCAGATCTTAATCCCCGCAATCAGATCGAAAACGCAGAGGAGAATCACAATTGTAGGGTTTTAGAGACGAAAAGGGGGAAAACTCGAACAATCTTGCCCCAATCGGAGCAAGGTTGAGACGAATACGAAAACAACACATGATCAAACAGTCGACAAGATTGAAGGAAAATCAAGTGAATTAGAAAACAAATTCCAAACATCTGAGAGGATAGAAAGATACCTCTGCTGGAAAGGAAGTGGCGGGAATCGAAGTGGAGCTGAAGGAAGCGATGAAATTAGTTCGACAACGAAGGAACAACCGTTCCCTCAGAAACAAAGAGTTTCCTTTTGGTTTCGAAAATCGTCGCCCGTTGAAACAAAAGTAGAGGCCAAACAGAGTGAGAAAAAAAAAATTATATATATATATATAACATAATATAAAATAAAATAATGATAAAATTATAAAATTCCCAATATTTGCAATATTTATACATAACGAATATATCCATATCACCACCGACGTCTCCGTTAATTACCGTTATTGAAGGATACAGATTTTCTGATTTTTTTAAAAAATAAAACAAAGTAGAAGTGAAACCCTATCGGCTAACGGTCAATTAACGATTATAGTGCGAAGGCGTTAGAACAGACAGCCCCTTGAGGTTTCGAGCGTTAAAGGTCGAACATTTTTTGGGATCGAATTCGTGGGCAATTCTGGACCGTCTGATTCGGAATAAATGACCAGGATTTGAGCGGATTCTTGTAAAGAGATATCGTGCGTTAACAAATATTAAAATTAATCTTATGTAAACTAGATAATTGATTTTCTTAAAAAAAATAAAATTAAAAAAAAAACAGTAAAACAATAAAAGCATTAATATGTTACATTGTTTTTTTTTTTTTCCCACATTGCTCAAACAAGTAGTGTTTACTTCTGGTCAATATTTGCCTAAATCGGTTGATATTTATAAAATAAAAAAATTATATATCATACATTTTTCTTATTCAAGTTTGGGAGTGATCGTTTGAAACTCTAACGAGTCAATTTTAGTGACACGAAAAGTGGGTACACTAATGCATGATATATAAAGCAGTTAAATTTATTAGAATAGAATAATTCGTTTTAATTGTAGTGATAGTGTCACAATTTGCGATGAAATCATGCGCCATTGTGATCTTGACTTGCTCACGATCCGCCTTAGTTGAAAAAGTACGACCGTAACAACTAGCACTAACATGGGTTAGTGGGTTTAGGCATCTTTCACCACTTAACTAAGCAAGAATTTTAAGTACTTGGCTTAATAAGCCAATTAAAAAATAACTAACTAAAGTGGCTACAGCATCTCTATCTCCCTTAAAAAATCATAGCATCCAACCTTTACTCAAGCAGATGGAATAATCTCAAAAAACAAAGGAAAAAATAAAACATTGGCTTACCCAAGCATGAGATGCTTAGATTAGATGAAGAATGAAGTGCGTTCATCAGAAGGCTCTGCCAAACAAACCCAACCAATTGCAGTTCATCTGACTGTTGAAGATTTGATCTCCAATCATTTTTCTATCAAATTGGTTATGAAGTTGAAGAAAAGGCCATATTACCAGCAATAAGCAAAAAAACTAAGTTAAATCATCCTAATGGATATCAAATCTCAAACATTTATTGGAAGTCTGATACTAAAACTTTAATATATAAGTCAAATCAAATCACCACTTAATCCCAGTTGCAACATATATGGAAGACGTGCTATAAATCCAGAGGTGAAAGCACTGAAGGTTTCAAGAATATGGAAGAAACATACTATAATTCCAGAGGTGAAAGAACTGAAGGTCTCAAGAATATGTCTGGGTGTCCTCTGATGCGACATTAATCTGAGGTAGCGGCTCCTTGGTTGAGCTCAGCAAATCTCATTCCAACGCGCATTGAGTGCTTCAAGAACTTCTCGGCACACCTACGTACACATGTTTCCTCTTGCTTTGTTAGGGATTTTCGCTGAAAGTTGTCTATGCAATCCGCAAAGCATCTCTCGACCAATGAGTTGTACATTCTCAGACTGCAATTTATTAGAAGGCAAACAGTTATCACTCTGAATGCGTGATGATATTATAGTGATCATCATAAATTGGATGCTAACATAAATTAAAATGGAGCAAAAGAGCTGCAGTACTGTACTGTAGTCTTGTGCAGTCTTCTTTTCAATATAAATTATATGGCATCTTACTTCAGCTTCCAAAGATATATTAATCCAAGATCAAATCAATATCACTCCCTAGAACTCCATCAGTTCCCTTTTTTGGAGTATATTCAGAAGGAAATCGTAGTTCAGATGAAATTTCAGAATATTGAAACTTGTCACACAAAAAAAGGAAAAGCCCTGAATCTCTGTTGGTTAACTTGAGTAGTATGAGGTACGAACTTTGAGCTCCTGTGGCCACTGGCCAGGGTGCATGGTTGTTGAATAGACTAACTTGTTGAATAGACTAACTGTGAGATTCTATATCGGTTGGAGAGGGGAAAGAGTGACAGCAAGGACGCTAGGCTCCGAAGGGGGTGAATTGTGAGATCCCATATCGGTTGGAGAGGGGAACGAAGCATTCTTTACAAGGGTGTAGAAACCTCTCCCTAGCAGACGCGTTTTAAAGCCGTGAGGTTGACGACGATACATAACGGGCCAAAGCGGACAATATTTGTTTGGCGGTGGGCTTGGGCTTGGGCTGTTACACTAATGGCACACAAGACAATACCAAGATTATTTAGAAAGTAAATAAATAAGTGATACTATCATAAGGTGAACTTTTCAAATATACATACATATATATATACATCTCACCTTACCTTGTGTTCACCTTAACTATTCTCAAAGGCTAATTTTCCCCCCCTACCGCATTTGGTTGTCTCATTTGTTTGCCAAGACAATTCAAAGGATATTAAATTTCTAGGAGATCAACATGATTTGGGCTCATTCTTGGTAAGTGATTTGCCATCTACATTTACTCTTATTGACCCCTAAATCAATCCAGGTGAATCTCTAAAAGGTGGTCTCAAAACCTCAGCAAAAATATAATCAAATTATACAAACAAAACAGAAGCAGGATACAGTAAAACAAGCCCACAAAATCTGGTAGAGGAAATTTAACTAGCTAGATCTTTCTCAGCGCATGTCATGAAAGTTTCAAGCTGTGGTACCGCGCTAGAAGCTCTTATTCTGGCTGCATCATAATCACAAAAACCCCAAAACCAAATTTCTATATCGCCCCCCCACAAATTGACCAGTATCTAGAACACTTCCAATCCTTCTACGGCTCATTCAAAGACGTCCAAGCGCATTCCAAAAATTTCCAACCAACAAACGAAGGAAATTTGTGGAATGCGCTTGGACATTCATAAAAGTTATCAGTTGAAGAGAGACAAACAAAGCCAGATTTTCTACCATATTCATCCCAGATCATATTGCCACCCACAAAAATCATCAGTTATCGGAGACAAATTCCAGATACGACTTTGTACCATGCCGCAACACGTGGAGAAAGAACAACATTCATAACAAGAGAATGCTTCAATAAATTAGATCCTCTTCAAAACTCGAAGTTTTTAGATAAATAAATAGAACCTGTCTCGAATCTGGAGCTGGTCGATCATGGTGGCCATTTTGAGCTTGTCTTCTTCAGGAAGACCCTCCAAATCAGCAAGCATGTTCTTGTCCATCTTCGACTCCAAAGAAAGCAAAGGGTTTAGGGTTCAACTTCTCTGGTTTCTTCTCCCTTCTCTGTATCGCCGCTAATAGCTCAGCTAGGTTGGAATTATAAGTTGGAGGAAGCGTAATAGTTTTTTTGCTAAATGGTCCTTCAATGTTCGTATATTTTCCATTTCAGCCCCTATAGAAAGCGTAATAGTTTTATTGCTAAATGGTCCTTCAATGTTCGTATATTCTCCCATTTAAGCCCCAATATTTTGAGTTATCCTTTTAAACTCCAAATACTATTCATTCCGTACACTAAAATAGTGTAAATCCATAGGTATGTGAAAGTAAAAAAGAAAAATGATGGATTGTTACCATAAATTTAACCTGTGGTTAATGGATGCTTAAGATTTTTTACATTTATTATTATTTGAAGTCGAATAGTGGGCCTCATATTTCTTATAAATGAGAGGCCCAATTACGGAAATTTTGTAGGCTACTGAGCCCAATAGGCCCATGAATCCTGGCCCAGGATAATTCAAACGAAGATTTGAATTTAGTTCAAATAAATAAGAGATTCGCGAAAGGAAAAGGAAAATTTAAAATTAATAAGACTCTGCCACCAACGTCTTGATTTTCAAATTCTCCTCCCTCGTCCTCCCTTCGCTTGGAGACTCTGCCACTGCCGACGCGAACCATACTTCCAGTTCAATGGCTGCTGAAAATTTTGAACTTCTTGCACCTGCTACATCCTGTGCAGTCTCCAAGGTCAGAGTCGTTGCTAGGGTTCGTCCATTTCTCTCCCAAGAAATTTCAGTCAAAAGTTCTAGGGTTCCAGTTTCATGCATTTCTGTGGTGGATCAAGGGCATATCTCTCCCGAGGAGGTTACTGTTAATCTCAAAGATCCGGAAACCAGGTACTTTGTTTTTTATTCTTTCTCTGTAGAGTGTTTTTCTGCCGTGGTAGAAGAATATTTTGGTTTGGTTGATTGTGGTTGTTGGATCTTCTGTAGTCGAAACGAGTGCTATCAATTGGACTCATTTTTTGGCCAAGAAGATCACACGGTGAGGCAGATCTTCGATAAAGAAGTAAATCCTTTGATTCCTGGACTCTTCCATGGATGTAATGCTACTGTGTTTGCTTACGGGGCTACTGGCAGTGGAAAGTCCTACACCATGCAGGTTATCTTCAATTAGTGGGAGATTTTTCATATGTTGCATTTAGCTTGAAATCAACAGAAGAATCATTAGCTTCCGTTCATATAAGCTTTAGCTTTCCTGAAATTGATATGAAATAATTCAACTACAGAAATGACTCGCACTCTGAATTGTGTCGATTTGGTTGAGGATGCAGGGTACTGAAGAAGAACCAGGTCTAATGCCACTAGCCATGTCTAGAGTTTTATCACTTTGTGAGGAAACTGGGTGTAGAGCAGAAATGTCGTACTATGAAGTCTACTTGGAAAGGTGTCATGATCTTCTGGAACCCAAAGCTAAAGAAATTGTAATTATGGATGATAAAGAAGGGCAAATTCATCTCAGAGGTTTATCTAAGGTTGCTGTAAATTCCATGTCCGAATTCCGGGAGACATTGGCTCTTGGAGTTCAAAGGCGGAAAGTTGCTGATACTGATCTTAACGATGTCTCAAGTAGAAGTCATGGGGTTCTTGTTATTACAGTTTCATCGCCCGTATGTGGTGATTCGGCAGCTTCTGTTACCGGAAA